CAATTTAGCTTTAATAATGAGAACTGAATTAATCATAAACATAGATATATGATCATAAATAAGAAAATCATCCACAGTTCCACTTGTCATCTAGTTGTTTACTTCCTTTTTGAGACAGTCAAAAGCATAATTTTGAACTTTTCCTGAAGGAGCAAAAGGAATTTTCCCAACAACTATAAAGACTGTTAATTCATCTTTTCCACAAAATCTACTAGTTTGATCCATCGACATATTTCCCCCACAGGCAAAATGTGGAAATGATGTTTTACTTAATCCCAAATCTTCAAGATGAATAAAGATAATTAGTTATTTCATAAAACATAATTAATAGTATTCTAACAAAATTCTGACCACCAGAAAAGCTTCAAATCAAGCAATAAACACCAAGTTAGGATACCAACAGCAAGGATCTTTCCCTCCAGAGTCTCAGGATTGATGGGTTTCCCTGTGCTCTCCAGCAGCCTCCACAGTCCGTGAACTCCCATAATTACAACAAACAGCTTTAAAACTTGAACAAAATGCACAAAAATGTTGCCTGTTCGCTCGATTTAAAAATATTTGGGCGCAAAACTACAGAAAAAGTGGAAAGAAAACACAAAAGAAAACGTTGAGTATCATTGCAGCGGCATTCATCATCCGTGAAGAAAATATAGGGAGAGCAGAAAGGTTCCGCGTAATTATTATGGCGACACAAAACTGTTCTTTAAAATATTTCACGATCCGTTAACCTGTATAGTGTATCATTACTATAATAAAAATTTTACGAAGGTTATAAATAAGCAAATTGCAGCTGCATTTGGACTACGTAAGTTTTTTTTTTTTCGATTTTCTTTCTTGCTGCGCACACCGGGATTGACTTCTACGCCGCCGCTGGATCTACAATGTTAAATATTGCGTTATATTGTTCCACGTTTTAAGATTAAATTTAATATGAACATTTTTCATTTTGATTTAATGAAACTAGTTTTTCTCATGTAAACAAAACAGAGGCGCCTTGTTTACCGGAAGTGTTGCTCGGGCCAGCGAGCCAACTGTTTCCGGTGGAAMAGCAAACAGTCGAGAAGGAGGTCGAGCTCCTCTTTACCGGGTATGTCAATGAATAATTTGTAATTTCAACTACAAACGTCAACACTCGGTGGACAAATACTTTAGAAATTTATGTCCTATGTTGAGTCTTAATATTGCTAAATGTGCTGCTAAACTGTCTTATTTCAAGGTGATGTTATAGCAAAACAGCTAACAAGTTAGCTTATCAGCTAACTGCTGTTATCAGCTGTAAAGCTGATTTCTGACCAGCGGCTTTCTTTTATCGAGACAAAGAGAGTTGACAACACATTGCTTTCTTTACTCTTGTGTTTACTGCAGGACGAGGAGACAGCGGGTTTTTATCTAAGTTTCAGTTTTGCCATCTTCAATCATGACAGCTGTTGTGAGAGGTATGTTTTTATTAGTTTATTAAAGTTTTAATTTCACGTTTCTTTTCAAGTTGATGATAATAAAGACTGGACTGATGACATTCTTCTACAAAACCTGCTTTAATTAATCTGTTTTTCTGGTATTCTTTAATTTTTACACATAAATTTCATTTGTGATTTTTTTTTAAGACAAAAAAGTTTGGCTTATATCTCACGGTGGGTAATATTTCTTTTATTAGATGAAAGTGAAGTACTTTGTTACACTGATCATCTGTTTAGACAGTCATAAAACCACACACAGCCTCTGGCCTGAGCTGTGTATTACATCAACATGTTATTATTACCACAACATTGTAGAACCACACCGATATCAAATCTGACTGTTAATTCATAAAGAGCTTTAAAGAAAAACTTGAACATAAAACCAAAAATAATGTGATTATCTTTAGTTTTAAGAAAGTTATGGATGTTTTAGTTTCAGGTAATCAAACTTGTGCTTTCTGCTGTCATTTTTTATCTGAACCAGTCGGGTATTTGTGACCATTTTACCTTGTTTCTTTTTTCTGAATTTGTTCATAACTTTCTCAGTGTTTAAGATAACGCCATGACATTTTCAGAAATGATTCATCTTATGCCTTTATTTTTGGAAGCGTCTTCAATTCTAAAAAACTAAAATACATTAAAAAATCTAATGTGAACGTATCAGGAAGCGTTTTAAACACTGAAGGGCTCATGTCACCAAACTGCAACACATGCAATATCATTTTCACTGTAGAGGAAATAAAAATACTTAGATGTTTGAGGTTGAAAGAGAATGTGTTCTTTACTTTATTGCAAGTGAGAACCAAGGAACAAATACAGAATTAGACTTTTATGTTAAATGCAAGAAATAAAGCCAGACAATACCCAGCTGGACCCAAATACACACAGCTTTATTCTGTCATGTTTTTGGCTCCGGATTCAAGAAGTTAACCCATAAATTATAAGCACAGTCTTCCAGACCTGGCCACTCCTTAGGGGCAAGCTGTCACATCGATTGGACGGGCCTCCCAATCCTTGCACATCAGTCTACACCGTGATGAGAGAGTAGCTGTTGGGAGGTTGTGGTGAATTGCATGCGTTAATTAATCGTATCAATCAAAGACACATTCTGTTTGAGTTGATCGTGACATGAGCCACTCAAAGCAGATTGCGCATCGAACTAAATCAGTTTAATCATAAAAATAGATAAGTACACTAAAAGGTTATCAAAACATAGCCTAGTTTTCTTAGGAAAAAGCAACGTGTGTAGTGCATTAAAAAAAAATCAGCTTTAAACTGAATAAATTTTCTTCAAGGTCATAAAAAAATAGTAACAAAGGCAGATAAAATCATGTTCTTCATGTAAACTTGCCTATTTAAGGGGTCACAGGAAAGATTTCGTCAGTGGGGTTTCCTGGAACTTGTTGAAGTAATGAAACAGGAACACAAGTTAGCGAGGTCACCCTCAGTGCAGCATTGCACAATTTTTATTAAGTTTTTTTTTATTCAACACACAAAAAGTAAAACAAAAAGAACACACCAACAATTCAAAATGAGAAATTTCACGTGCAAGGGAAGGGTCAAAGCGTCCTGATGCATCTCAGTAATCCAGGTAAAAAACCAAAAAGAAAAAAATTGTATAGGTCTTCTGGACGGGTTCTTCTCT